GAAAAAAAAGTACTCCGTGGGAAAGATTAAGATTGTGGAAATATTAATGGCGTGTCCAAATAAAATAGAAAATCGCAACTGGATAACAGCCATATCAAAGCTGTTTAGCCTTTAAAGTGAGCGACAAATCAGTGTAATTTCTCAACTTCAACAACCCTGCACGTTTTTTAGCATGCCCGTCTACGCAAGTCCATTTATGTTTCTTCAACATCCACAGAGCCAACCTTTCATTTATACTGCGACTCGGCTGAGCAGATCTTAGTTACAGTTCAAGTGTTTGTCCCAACAGGTAAAACATACGGTACTGAATACAGATTTTTACTTCTATACTAGTTACTATGGCCAGTGAGTCCAATCTGCCCGTTTATTTAAACTATAGTTGTTGGGGAGGGAAAAGAAAGATCGATCCATGTCTTTTAAAAGGTGTAGATAGGTTCGTCTATCGACCGGTTCACACTCTTTTGAATAGGAGTAGATGTTATTCTTTTTTTTCCCTGATTAGTATGGTGTTTCCAGTTCTTTCTAAAGTCTACTTCAACTCTGTACTCCTAATGCTTGTCCTTTCTTACGTTAATGCAAATTCACGCAGTAACCCTCTATCTGAGTGGCTCTTCTGCCTTGTATTGGTGGAACATTAATAAAAGACCTTTTTAATGTTGGAATTGGAAAAAGTCGGATAACAAGAAGGAAGCCTATGATCTTCATTATTGAATTCTCATACGATATAATCTAAAGCCCCTGGAATGATGAAATAATAAAAGATAAGGATAATGAGAAATCGTAATGATAATGGTAATATAAGCCGTTTCCTTATAGGGAAACACCTGACATTTATTGACCGAGCAGCCAGTGCTACCGTCGGTCAAAACCGTAAAAGTAGCGTAAAAGTCAACCTACCCGATTATTATTCCAAAAGTAGCATTAAAAATTTGAGGAAATCAACTGCAATCTTACCTGGGTCAAGGGTACAGCACGGCTGCCCGTATGGGGCTAGATTACTGCACGAATGTGTACCCATTCATTGGAAAAATAAAAATAAAAACACCCGAGGGCTTTCAGATTCTTGACTGAGGCCGCCAAGCTGTACGCGGGACCCAAATAAGATTGTCAATACCATCCTGAAAAGTGGACTTTGCACAATTTTTATTGGTATTTTTGTAATAATCATAATACGGAACCAAACTTAACAAAAGCAAAGTTTTAAGTCAAATTTTTATGTTATTATTAAGAAGAAAGACCAAATGACGATCGGGCTTTAGCCGAGACATATATAAAACCCAACTAAGATTGTAGACATCTCCTAAATGGTAAGTTTCTGCAGATTTTTAATGCTGTTTTTGGAATATTCAGGCTTTTTTTACACCAGAAATGACGCCTGTTTTTTAAATTGGTTACTGGGTCCTAATCTGCAATTTTACCACATTTTTCAGAAAAATAGTTTTCTCAAGTTACACCAGCTGTCATCGCTCTCTCCACAATTCTCCTTCCTAACCTTTTGATTGAAATAGTTTGGAACAACAACAACAACCAATTATTTCGTTATTTTATCTGAGAACTACATCTGCTAGCCATTTTACTTCTTGCTGCTATTGGTAGTCCTGAAGTGATATGGTTTTCTCTTATTTGCTACAGTTCTTTTGTTATCTGCATCAAATAACAGAAAATATATTACTTGAGGACTTTCAACAACAGCAATACCAAAATGGAAATCACATCTGATTCAAAGAAAAAATACTGAAAAAATCATTATGTTCACCTTCCAAACTTCTTCAAATAAAAGGTTAGAAAGAAAGCTCATATCAATACTGAAAAAAGCGATTACAGTTACATGACTTGAGACTAACTGGAGAATGTCATGAGAAAGAAAAGGAAGAATCTCTTGGAATAAGATTGAAAGTAAGACGAAACACAAAATAAGTAGACATGAATGCTCAAGAATTTAAATATAGGGTCGAAAAAAGCAAAGTTCCAGGTTTCAAATTATGGTTTGTAACCATTTTCATGTTCTATGGTATGCATTCTTCTCGTGGGTATTCTGAGGTTCTTGCTCAGAATTAAGCTAAGCTTAAGGAAGAAGGGGAGAAAAAGGTAGTTGTTAATGAGACATAAAATACTGAACTTTGTATTGAATCGAATGAAGATAGACGAAGGTATAAAAAAAATGTGTTAAAGAACATGAGAAAGGAATCGAGTAAATGAAAAGATAGATATACAAATTCCAGAATGCAAGATGTATTATTTCTAAAAACGAACTACAAACAAAAAATAAATGATAAAAATAACAAAAAATTGTAATGATGATATTAACCGTTTCCCTATAAGAAAACGTTTGGCGTTTATTGAGCGAGCAGCCAATACTGCTTCTGGTCGAAATTTATAATATCCTTCTTTTAAAAAAAGAAAGTCCAGCTTCTGTTATCGGTCTTTCCAGTATTAATACGGTTTTCCTTCTTAACCATTATTGGAAACAGTGTGGAATCTAAGCATCATCGTTATTTTTTCTTCCAGTTATATGCATTTTATTTCTTGCTGCTGTTGGCAGTCTTCATACGATTTGATTTCTCTTATTAGGTACAGTTCTTTGTTTGTGATTCTGTAGCTCCAGTCCACAATGTTCAGAAAAGAATTAGCTATGAACCCCAGGCTTCACTCGATAAAAACCTATTTGTTACCACAGAACTTTGAAAGCGTTGCATACGGCTGGCAATTTAGATATTTTTGAACGGGTTTGGCTCCGTTCATGACAACCATATGAAAGCCTCGATCTGTCGAAGCTATTTAAGAAGATGACTCGAGTTTTCAGTTTGATACTCCGGGGTAAAAAAAAAAAAAAAATAGCGGACAAGTCTTTCTGCCGCACTCAATCCATGAAATGAATGACAAAATAAAATTTAAGAAAAAAATGACTGATAAAGCCAAAAAAGAAGAAAAGATGCCTCTGGTGATATGGAGGCATTTACGAAATCCTTATCTTTAAGGGTGTATAATGTGGTCGACAGAATTACAGAAAAACATACACACCCTCCTACTCGCGGTGTTTAAAAGGATTGCATTTGATTTTCGACAGTCTTTTTATTTGTTTGCTTCTAGATGATGTTAAAGAAAAAGTAAAATGTTCGACATTTGGTCTCAAAGGAACGTGCACAGCGTTAGCCAGTTGATAGCCAATGAGATTTAGACAAGTGTCAGATCTCACCAACACTCGTTATGGCGCCCGGTAATTCTGTCAGAATTAAAATGTAAAAGGCTGTTGGAGATTGACTTGGCCTGACACGAGGTCGATTTAGTGAAATTGAAAAAAGAAAAAGAAAAATATGCCCGTATTAATTGGAAAGGATACTTAAAAAAAAAGGCGGAGGTAAAAAAAAAAAAACAGAGAGAAAATATCTTTCAGATGAGGCTGTTCTTTTTTAAACGTCAAAAACAGATTGAAATTTTAATGGGATTAAGGTTTAAGAAATAATTGAATTGAGAAAATAAACAATTTAATTTGTCCTGTTAAAAAATACACTTCGAAAAAGAGATAAGGCCATATAACTGTATTAATCAAGATTACAGAAGTGCCAAAAATAGAGTTAAAGAATATATATATATATATATATATATATATATATATATATATATATATATATATATATTCATTCAAAGCATATTTTCAATGAATAATATAGACATATGGTGTTTACTTATTTCTATACTTATCCTTCTACTTACAATAATTTTGTCTTTATAATTTGCCCCTGAATATTATCTCGGAAAGGATCAAAAGTGTTTGGGTAACAAAAAAAAATGAGCAGTATAAATATAAGTAGACACAATATGTTTATATTATTCAGTGAAACACACACACACACACACACACACACATATATATATATATATATATATATATATATATATATATATATATATATATATATATATATATATATATATATATTCACACATATATTGTTGAATATAACAGACAACGAATGCATATTATGTTTGATCATGTGCGGTTCTATGCTTCGTATAGTGTCTTTTTAGATTCGGGAAAAAATAAAGAAAACACTGTCCAACATTTGGATATTTTTATTATGCTTTTCCTCGATCTAAGCTTTCGCTTCACATGAAACAACTTCAGAGTGGTTATATGGACATTTAAACAAAAACATTCACCATCAAAGTTGACATCCTGTTACGTTTACATACAAGTTTGCTATACGACGATAACAGTCACGGACTAGCAGACTCACGTCGTAAATTCATCAGGCGGTTCTATGATGACGTACAAGGGATAAAGAAATGTTATCAACAAAATCATGTGTTTAAATTTATTGTAATATGTTATGACTTGTTTGAAATGTAATTTTGTTGAGTGTGGGTTGCTTCGTTTTATGTAGATGGCCTCCAATATCTTAAAGTTCTTTTTACTGTGTGTATGTGTGAATATTGCTGTGTTATCAACTAATATCTGTCTAATATTATGTAAGTCTATGTTTTTCTACACCTATTAGGCTGTGTCATAACGTTACGTTTTTGGGAATCAATTGTAATGATGTAATTGTAATTCCAAATAACAACTACTTTCAATATCATAACAAATTATAAAAGCTTGCATACGACAATGTTCAAGTGAAATAACAATAGATTAGCAAAGATGAATCTACACAACAAACTTCAAAAGATGAGGTCCGTAAAACAAAGATAATATCATGTGTGTGTTTGGATCGTATTCTTCATTTAGCATTTTTAAAATGCAATAAAACACGACATGTAGCTATGCATGATCTCCTGTTGAAATAGATAGCATAACTGTGCTCATATCAAATGTTTGGTCTCTATAAAGGTTCAGTAAGAGTCGTGTAAATGTTTTTATCCACCCGGTGGAATTCTGTGAAGCAACTCTGCACGAAATTTCATTTGAAACGAGATTTTGCCAAACTGCTGATTAGCTGCTACCTGTAAATAAGCAACGAAAACATTGCTTTTTGAATGGAGATGCTCAGGATCTACTGCTATAAAGGAATAGAAGAATACGATGAAGAAGCAGAAGAATAAGAAGTAGGAAGAGAGGCAAGAGGCAAAGGAAGAAAAAAGAGGCGAAAAAAGAAGAAAAAGGAAAAAAGTGGAGCGGGAAGAAGAAAAAGGAAAAGGTGGAGCAAGAAGAAGAAAAAAAGAAGAAGAAGAAGAAGAAGAAAGGGCAGAAGGCAAAGGAAGAAAAAGGAGGTGAAGGAAGAAGAAAAGGATAAAGAAGGATAAGGCGGAGCGAGAAGAAGAAGAAGAAGAAGAAGAAGAAGAAGAAGAAGAAGAAGAAGAAGAAGAAGAAGTGCAGGACGCAAAGAAAGAAAAAGAAGCCGATTAAAAAATAAATCGAATTGTAAAGAATACGCGGAGGAACAACAACTACAACAACGAAAAAAAAAGAAAAGGGTGTGGGTGACGAGGAAGAGAAGAAGAAAAAGCGGAGAAACAAGTGAGGTAAAAGAAGAAGATGAAAATGAAGAAGAAAAAGAATTTCGAAAGAAAATAAAAGAAGAAAGATAAGCAGAAGAAGTAGGAGGAGGAGGAATAGGAGTAGTAAGAGGAAGATAAATATTATTAGCAGAATTAGAAAAAAGGATAACCGAAAAAGGGGATATGATAGAAAGAGAATAAAAAGCGATGAGTAAGACAAGAAGAAGAAGAAGAAAAAGAAGAAGAAGAAGCAGTGCAGGACGCAAATGAAGAAAAAGAAAGCGATTAAAAAAGAAGAAGAAGAAGAAGAAGAAGAAGAAGAAGAAGAAGAAGAAGAAGAAGTGGAGGAGGCAAAGGAAGAAGAAGACGGGACAGGAGGCAAAGAAAGAAGAGAATGAAGCCAATAAAACTAGGAAGGAAACAAGACAAAAACAACGGAAAAGACATGGTATTGCTTTTTACTTTAGTTCCCATTATTTTGTCCAGGGAACTTTGATATTTCTGGTCGTCTTTTGAAGGACCTTCTCAGCATGTGCCCAATAATCAATGGATAATATAGTGTTTACAGAAAAGATTCATTTTTTTTGTTTGTTTTTACCACTCCTAAATCTCTCAAAGGTGGTTCGATTGCTTTTCTAATTTCCATTTCATCTTGTGTCTCTGCATTATTTATGCGATGTTCGACACGTTCTTTTGAGTGGATTATTGAGTAGAGCGTAAATATTTTGGCTATATTTCAATATCGTATTTCCTTCCCGCTCAATCAGAACGCAACCAGAACAATCTGATAATCGTGTATGAAGAGGATTGGTAAAAGCCAGTGTTATTTCCGTGTCAAAGTCACGATTGTAAGCGTCTTTAGTCATAAGCTAATTATCAATAGTTAATGAAAAGTAAAGTTTTCAAAGACTTCTAGAACATTATAAAAACTAACCAAACCCACATCATATTTTTGTATTCTTGAAGCAAAAAAGCATTCGCTTTTTTGGTTTCATTTTATCTGAAATCCACTACATGCTTCCTGCGCTATGGTTCCAATAAAATTAGATCTACGTTTGTACTATGTATCATTCATAGTAAATCCAATTACTCTTTTGGCTCCAACGGTGCCCGGTTAATCGACGATGCAAAGTTAATCCACTGCAGACTAAATGCTTACAGACTCAAATATAAACGAGCAATAATTAACTAAGTAAATAATTCTTTCTTTTTATGTGCCGTGTCTCTTCAGGACGTAGACGATTATGGCCCGCCACTTCCCCCTATCCCTTGTAGCTTTCAATAAGTTTTTTATCCCTTTGCTACTTCCGTTAGGCCATGTTCTGTAATCCACTTGCTTAAGCCTGCTAGGTATGTCATGCTGTTGCTTTTTCCTTGTCTCTCTTTCCGTCTATTCGACATGTGAGTATCAGATTCTCCAAGCTCTCGTTTCTCATTACATGACCCAGAAATTTCAGCTGCCTCTTCCTGATGTTGCGTATAAGCTTTCTCCTTTGTTTTCATCCTCTTAAAAACCACATCGTTGCTCACACGCTCGGTCTATGATATCCTTAGCATCCTTCTGTAGAACCATACCTCCGTTGCCTCGAAACTATTCTTCTGCTTTGAGGAGACCGTCCAACATTCGCTGCCGTATAGGAGGATAGATGTCACGTAGATGCTCAGTCTCAATATAAATGACCAATATATGCCTCTATCTGGAATAAATACATGCCTTCAGAATCAAATATAAAAGGCTAGTATTTAACTATTCCCGAGCAAATTTAATATTTACAGATTCAAATGCACACGACGAATATCTGAAATGGTACTACCCATTCCTCACTTGTATTGATACAGTTCAGAAGTGTCTACACTGCCTTGTGGGTGATGAATTTTTCCAATCTACAACCTGTTTCCCAGATAGGAAACAGTGTTAATTTCTCACTGCTCTATTACTATTTCTGCTAATATTTTGCTTTTTCAAAAATCTATTCCTGGTAATATTTTATTTTCTCAAAAATATATAGCTCGTAATATTATTTTAAAAAATGTATTCTTGGTAATATTTTTTTTCTTCAAATATTTATTTCTGGTAATAATTTTTTTATATAATATTTCTTGGATTAAAACCTATTTTTACACTTTTATAATTCTTTTTACCTCAGTTTTGAGGTTAAATATTTGCCCGTAGCTGGGACCCTAACAGGTGCTACCACCCCGGATCAGGGTAGACCTGGGAACACCAGCAATTAAGAGGTGGTCTCACGCTCCTCAAAACCTCCTGATCTGTGACCTTGCTGTTGGACGTAGTTTCTCGTCTTACCCAGGACGCGGCTGACCTGATGGGCCGTCATACCTATATATTATTTTATTTTTAATAAATTGTGGAGAATTTTATGGAGTGATGAGAAAGGTGAAAGAAACGGGGAAAAATTTCGTAAATTATTGATTTCTGTGAAATAATTATATATTTATTTTGACAAAATAATTATTTAAAAAAAAACAAACAAAAAACATGTCAACAGAATTATTTTTTTGAATATATATCGTTGTGCGGTATCATCTGTGCCCGTTATTAATACGCTTCTAATCAGTTCCATGATTCATCGTCAGTGAAGCGTCGCAAAATAAATACCGGTTTCTTTGGGAAAAAAAAATTTTTTTCAACAAATTAACAGGACGAACCGTATTAAAATAATTTTCCATTTATTATTTTTATCCCCCTTGTAACAAAAAAACAACATAAATGTGAAATATAATGATACGTCCCCTCCTGTAATTGTTTAATATTTCTTTTTCTCATGGACACCTCCACTTTCTATTTCTGATCACCTCAATTTGTTAGTTCTGCTGCTAACTGGTTACCTCGTGTTTCTATAGTTGATTAAAATAGCAATGAACACGTTTCCTTTTTTTTTTTCATATTAATTAAACATAAAACACGCCTATCAGTAAAAGTCCCTACGTCCGTTTATATTCAATGTTCTTTTTGTCGACCAAACACGGATATTACCCACGATTTATTGCTCACTACGAAAATGAATCCCAATTACCACGAAGTTTATAAAATTTCTCTAATACTGCATAAAACATTCCCTACTCGCTCGCTGTCAACCCTAAACATAAGCGCTTTTTACACTGATGTTCACTTTGTAAAAGCCCCGAGAGCCACACAAGGTATTGCGTTACAGATTAAGAGGTACAGTTTATGCGGATATGTGGGTAAGATAATGGTTATCCCTAAACTTGAACAGGTTCATAATTGTATTGATCGAAGAACCATCACTTGGGGAGTCGGTTCCATAAAGCAGCGGTTCGTGGGAAGAAACTACTTGGGTGGAACTTAGGTCTTACTAATGGAATACGAAGGAAATGAGTCTGGTTCACTACAATGCGTGTGGCTTGCATGGCCGGTCTTAGACATGAACGTTTGTTCTGGTGAAACCACGGAATGTACTTCGTTTAAACACATTTCATGGAAATAGCGATAGGGCGGGGGGATCTTGCGATGCTTCGTCTGTGAGAAAGAGGTTTTTGGGTGGAAAATAATTCGTCACCCACAAGAATGGGGAGACGCCTTTGGACATTATCGAGGAATGTGAAGACCGGGCATTTAATGTCAACATTACTCCATTCGTGGCCTGATTCTGGCTCTTAGCCATTTTCACAATATGGCGGTTGCGACAAAATATTCTTCTCCTGAGGAATTGTATTGTTGATATTTCATGCCGTTGATCTTTTTATATATATATATACATATATATATTTATTAAAGACATTTTTATGTTTAACGTTCTTTTTATAGATACAAATATTTAAGTAAATGCTCTGTCTATAATAAACAGTATTAAATAACATTTACCGGCCTGAATAGAAAATATTCGTCCTTTGACAGGATTCGAACCTGCATCCTATACGGAACCGTCATTTAAACTGACGTGCCTTAACCGACGCGGCCACAAAGGAGCGTTCGGTAGGCAAGGTCGAATTTACTGCCTATAAACTTCAATCTTCCATGAATCTCGGTTAAGCTCTTTCTTTTTTTAAAACCTTTTTTCCCCTCGAGATTGATTTGATTAGCAAATCAAAAATTCGAGGGTTTTTCGAAAACGAGTCTAGTTATCTATATATATATATATATATATATATATATATATATATATATATATATATATATATATAAATCTGCTAAACTGTACAACCTGATCAAAAGGAAACTGATGTTAGCAATCAGAAAAAAAATACTGTCCAAATTGAGAATTATCAGGGAAAATCAAAATCAAAAATCAAAATCAAAAAGAGTTAAGAGGGAAAATCAGAATAAAGCAGCTACAAAAATTCAACAATCTGACATAGAGATTCACAGTTACATTTTAATAAACAAATATACCTTTCAGAACCTAAGCACAGTATAAGGAAATATGAAATTTTAGTTAGAAACAAAGAAACGAATATTGTACTTCTATTTAACCCCTGATTTGATGAGCAATCTTGATACAGATGAAAAGACTTGGGGCAACTGCTACATGGTTCTACTGGCAAACGCTGAGATAAACTGTGCTAAGAAAATGCGAGTAAAAAAGAAGATTTAAAGAAAATTTGAAATACAACGGAACTAATATTTACAACTAGAAGGAAGTAGTCGAAGTTTCTAGAGAATTTTATAGTCACAAAATATGTTGAAAACATGAAAAGATTAATTGAGAGACTACTTTGTTATTTTATAGCTCATCAACCTTTTTTGGCTTATTTAAAGTCGAAAGATATGTCAGTTTATAAAAAGTGGCTGACAGTACCCAGTGTCTCTAAGTATTGTCCTATTAAATCCCTGATTGGGCACGACATTACTTAACTTTGCCTATCAAACGAAAACCGATGACTCAAAAAAGAAGAAAACAGAGAATAATGTATTTAATGTTTGTAAGATCGGGGTAGTGTTTTAACTGAGGGTGGAAAATGCGACACTGAAATGCGAGGGCGCGTTGGGATAGCGAAAGATGACTTCTAAAAGCTAAGCAACGTATTAAGAAACAGGAGATTGCGCTAGAATCAAAGGAAATCGTAGTGAACTGATATGTAATATAAGTCCTCGTATATGGCATTGAATACTGGCCAATCTCGGAGATGGAGAAGAGAATTGAAGTAACAGAAATGTGGTTCTACAGAAGGATGCTGAGAGTACCATTTAACAGAACATGTGAGCAACAGCAAAGCTTTAAAGAAAATGAGAACAAAAAGACACATAGGCTTAACATCAGGAAGAAACTATTGACATTTCTTGAACACATAATGAAAAAAAGAGGGCTTAGAAAATCTGATACTCACTTGACAGATTGAAGCCAAGAGGGACAGAGGAAAACAATACCTGGCCTGCCTAGCAAGCTTGAGTAAATGGATGGTGGAGCAAGTTTTAGGAGTGATAACAAAAAGATAACATTTATTTAGACCTTCAAAGGACACGGAATTGTGGCGAGCCATGAAAGCCAACTTCCTGTAGGGACACGGTACATAGAAAGAGGACTTGATTGGATTGTTGAACAAATAAAGATTGTAACATGTCAAAAGATAATTAGAACAAGAAAAGGATGGAAGTTAGCGAGAGCCGTTGACATGGCTCAGAAGAGAAGTATGAATGCATGGATTTCGATAATTTAAAACAGATAATTACTTTGAAAGTCGCAAGGTTTGTTCCTCTATTTAATATTCAAGACTACACACATTTATTTTCTAGTAGTTACTTTAGTAATCGTCCTTGTAATTATTTGTGACTAACATCATGCCAGGTCTTCTTGACGGATATTAGTCGCCATATTTTTGTTTGGGAAATAAACGCAAGAATTAGTGTAGAAGCTGTCGCCTTTATTCTTTTTTTGGCGACAGGAAATGAAAGGTGACGTGGAATTGACGAAAATTGATAATGAACAGATGATATCAGTCTATTTGTTTCTTTTTTTTCTTTTTACGCCATTTTATACCTGGAGTCATCATTTAGAAGTACAGTGCTTAGTCCATTTAGAGATTAGTTTTTAGTCATATTTTGTTTCGTTTTAAATTTTCTTCTTCAAAGTCGAATTCAATCACAATTATTACTGAGAATTTACACTTCTATTCTCAGTCAGTATTCACAATTAAAACACGCAATATTTTGTTAAAACTCCGTGCTTCTTTTTGTTTTGTTTCCTGTATAATTCGTTGTTCTTCGTCTTTCTTTACTCTGCGCAAATATCGAACATCTCAATTACAGAAGCCACAGAGTACAGCAAAATGAACGGAGATTACTTAAACGATGCCAATGATAATTTATCCATGTATATCTTATTCACGTTTCCTCATACAAACCGTGAGAAGAAAGCATCGTTTTCTAGTCAAAATACCAAAGCAGTTGCATCTTGTATTAAATTTTATACAGAACAAATACGAAATATAAGTCTAGCATTCGTCATGCTTAGAATATTGCTGCCACATATGGTCCGGTGACCCTGCGGATAAAGTCGCCAGATAATCAGCAATATTATTAATCCTGATCTGGCGGCTCGGCATTAGTCCCTTTCCCGCCGCCGTAAGGTTGCTTCTCTCGGTCTTTTCTGTAAATACGTTCATGGTAATTTTTTCGGATGACATCTTCGATATGGTACCTAGACTTTTTTAAAAAATTTAAGCGCAGTACTAGTTGAGCTAGCTATATGTTCTATGTTAACAGTTTCTTTTCTCGCACTTCTCGCTTGCAGAACTCACTTTCGGCTATATGCTTTCCAGCCAATTTCTAATCTGAAAAACTTTAAATGAAATGCCAATCGCTATCGACTCCTGGTTACTCTTCCCGCTCATTATTAATGTTTCCGTTCTTAATTCTTACACACCCTGTAACTCCTCGTGTCTTAGCAGCGTTACCGCCTGATGATACCAATTAAAAAATTGTAATTGTAGTAAAAACCAACGAGTATCTGTCTATATTCCTGAGATGAGGTATTATGTACACTATTTACATTATTCGGATTATTGTCCTCATCTTTGTCGCCATATTTATTACAATGTTTCAGGTGGTTGGAATGTTGAATTGAACCCTTTATTTCGCTCACTGTAGTAGACTGATCTAGTTCCACGTGTCATGTTTAATGGATGTCACTTATCAGTTATCTCCTGTTAATTTCCCTCTGAAATACCCAGATGTCGTCAAGGACACATGGCACAGTGGATAAAGGCGTTGGTTAGATCCAGTGACAGGACTCAAAGAGTGTGAGTTCAATACCCGGTTAAAGCAGTGGAGAACTTTCAGAGGGAAAATTAACAAGAGATAACTGATAACTGACATCCATCAAAACATCAAAACTTGTTGTCAGTTATCTCCTGTTAATCCCCCTCTCCAAGTTCTCCGCTGCCTTAACCGGGTATTGAACTCACTCACACTCTTTGGGTCCTGTCACTGGATCTAACTAACGCCTTTATCCTCTGTGCCATGTGTCCTCAAAATATTGTACAAAGGTTGATTTGTTTCAGATGCAAAAAATCATGCAACCTTCGTAAAGGGTTTTAATGCATGGCAATTATTTTTACTCATTTCCATCTGTATCTATGTCTGTCACTTATCATATCTGGTCATCTGTAAGGAGATTTTCCAGTATTCACTGTCATGTACGGATATTATTTTACAGTTCAATACTCTTTTCCTGTTTCTTAGTAAGTTGCTTAGCTTCTGGAAGGCATCTTTCGCTATCCCAAAGCGCGTTCGGACTTCAGAGGCGAACTCTCCATTCTTGTACTTGCATGATTTTACTTGCAAACAGTATACCAGAAATTATATAATCAAAATATATAACCAAATATAACATCATTTCTATTCAAATTATTCAATTCAAATTATGTAATTTAAATTATATAATTTAAAGTATATAATTCAAATTACATAATCAAATATAACATAGTTTCAAGTCAAATTATTCCATTCAAATACAAAATATATCATTCGAATTATATTTCAAATAATATGATCAAATTATACAATCAAATATGATATAATTTATACTCAAATTATTCAATTCAAATTATATAATCAAATATAAGATAATTTCTGCTGATAAAGTGCTTAATATATTACTAGAGAAATAATCATTATTAAAATAGCCGCCAAAACGTTAAATACTAATTAAAAGTCAATTCAGGGTTTAGGAATTCTGGAATCATTTTAAAGATGGCTGGAAAACAAGGAACCGGAAGAGAGTTTCCCCTCAAGAAGTTTGAGAAAAGAAAATGTTAACATTTACAGTTACATTTATCCAGTTCATCTTCATATTGATGAAATCTCAACACCAGTATTGCACTTAAATTCAAAAAGGCTACGTAACATAGTATTCAATTAAACAATTGCTGTTAAATTATTTATAGAATAGTAAAGGTGGCGACCTTACGGCGGTGATAAAGTGACTGAAGCCAAGACACCAGATCAGGACTAATGATATTGCAGATGCTTCTTTTAGATTTTATAAAGGAGCTCTGGATAAATATCAGGAGCACTAGACTATATGTGGCAACACTATTCCATGCATGGACGAAAAAAGAACCACCTATCATATATATATATATATATATATATATATATATATGAAAGAAAAATACAGAAAAAAACAAAATTCTGAATATGCATTTTTAATGTTAAAATAAAGTCAACGTCGGACGTTTCGGTCTATTTAAGACCATCTTCATGGACATTTTCATTTAAACAATTAACATTATAACTTATAACAATTTAACACAAAAGACGATGGACATAAGATCCCAACTAATTCAAACAGATAACAGAAATTTTATACAGATCAGCGTTCTGTTTAAATATGATCACGTAGTCGTCTCGTGGGCGATGTTGTTAAGACGTATTCGAAGATGATTTCCAAAAATTAAAATATCAAAAAGTCGATTGAAAAATTTTTATAAACAGTTAAAGAAATCTCTTCCGTTGATGTTGGAATACGTAGTGATCAATTGGTTCTTATATCTTCAACAAGCTTGAAAGTCCTTCCCGTTACAATGCAAATCCAAAAATGATTTCAAAAACGATGGAACAGTTCTAAAAAAACAGTTCGATAAAAATTCCATTCCTTACTTGATCAATAGATTCTATTATTCTCGTCCAAGCTTGAAATCTTCCACGTTATAAAGTAAATTCAGGTTTGTATTTTCAGTAGACAGTATGTAAGCAAATATATGGATATAAATCCGACAGTATGAAAGAAAAATACAGAAAAAACAAAATTCTGAATATGCATTATTAATATTAAAATAAAGTCGACGTCGGAGGTTTCGGTCTATTTAAAACCATCTTCATGGACATTTTCATTTAAACATAATTAACATTATAACTTATAACAATTTAACACAAAAGACGATGGACATAAGAGCCCAACTAATTCAAACAGATAACAGAAATTTTATACAGATCAGCGTTCTGTTTAAATATGATCACGATATATATTTACACGAATGCAGGGTTGGTAGAGATGGAATAAAATTCCGATAATCAAAACCACTATATTTTTTTAAAAAAAGTACTCAATACAAAGTAGAGCAAATAATATTTATTCAAAAATTATAACATAAACATGTTATAACGTCGCTACAAAAATAGCTATTTTGTTTCAACACTTCCGGTATATATCAATGATTGTTTTGATTGCGAAATAAAGTGTTGTGTTTTTTTTTATTCAAAACCAAATCGAACCCCTTCAGTCGGGGAAACATTGTTACATAACCTATGACGAACAATCAGAATATAAGTTTATGAAAATTCAAAATACGTGACAGTGTATTCTAAATACAAAACGTTAGTTGATCAAATTTAATGTTAGACTAAGCTAGAAATCAGTATGAAATAATTAAGCTTTAATTTCACGCTAAGGTTAAAAATTAAAACATTCAGATTCTAAATTAAAACGAGCATTAGGTTTAAAATATTACAAAATTATTCAAAAAATGGAACGAAGGAAAAGAAAATATATATACATACACACAAAAACACACACACACAAATATATATATATATATATATATATATATATATATATATATGTGTGTGTGTGTGTGTGTGTGTGTGTGTGTGTGTGTTATTACTATTCTCAGCTCCATGCCAATCCGGTAAATTCGACGCTGATTTGAAAAGTATTAATAAACGCTACAAAACTAAGGGACAAGTTAGACAATGTAGACGACACGACAAACACATTCGCATCCAAATATACAGGCAAATAAATATAACTAAACATATATGCACACAAATATAAAAACGAAACAGGAAATAGAAGAAAATGAAAGAAAGAAAAAAGAAAGACAAAAAAGGGAAAAGGAAAAAAAAATTCAAAAACTTCCAAAAAGGAAAATAAAAGTAAAAATAAAGAAGAAAAAGAGAAAAAAAAGAAAAAGAAGAACAAACAAAAACAGAAAGAACAAATCACATATCCACTATCCCTCTCCTCATCCTCTCTTCTATCACTCCTATCTGCTCTCACTCCAAATCTTCTGCAACCCCCTGCATCCTAGTGGCTTCACGCCTTGCTCGGGGCGTAATGCTTAAAAAAAAAACAAAAAAAAAAAAAACAAGCGTATACCAATAAAACCAAATACTAGCAATCACACGCCTGTGCCCATATACAACTAATTTAGCCGGCCACGGGAGCAGCCCGGCCTTCGGGATGGGTTGCGACCATGGTAAAGTCTAGTTTGGACCATATCAGGACCTGCTAAGACAAGCCAAGACCAGAACTTGACTAAGCTTTGACCAGCTTGGACATGTTATGACCAAAACATTGACTAAGCCTTGACCAGCTTGGACATGTTATGACCAATCTTTGACCAGTGACCCTATGCGGAAACGCTTGGGTTTTCCCACGAAAAACGACCTTGTGTCACGTCTTGACCCCGTGGGAGTCAAGTAAATACCGCCCATATACAAATAAACAAACTCACCAATATTCTAGCACAAATACAATAATAAAACGACACAAATTATCCATCAAAATATTACATATCTGAACAAATATATAAGTAAAAAAAAAAGTGTTTTTTTTTCAAATACCAGGTTTAAACAAACTAAATAAATAAATGAAGGAAAAGATATATATATATATATATATATATATATATATATATATATATATATATATATATATATACATACACACATAAAACCTTCAAACATATACGTATACATATATAAAGAAAACCCGGATAACTAAATTGCAAGTTCAAATATAACACTGATGCATACAAAAAAAAAAAAGTAAAAATACAAAAATAAAAACACACTGAAACACGTTCGTATACACATATTAACATAAATACATATAAATAAATTACATAAACTCAAAT